TATCTACCTTGAATGGTTATGTGATCTAATCTGATGAAAAATGCTCAAAATATTAAAAACTTTTCATTTAACATATTGGATGCCGTGTTAATATCGTTATATTCATACGGACTGAGTGTACCTAATTAGGTTTTTTGTGGTGAAATATGTCCACTGGATTAAGTCTTCCAGTTGACAAGTGCTCACTTTTTTTTAGATTTATTATAGGAATTAACACTACTCTTTCATTGGTAGTTGATACGATCCTCATCAATGGCGTGGTGTGACTGTGCTGACTTTATCAAGTAGGTGCTCATGGATTGGATAGAATGTGTGCAAGTGTGTTTATAAGATGAGTGTATACATGTATATATGTGAGCATCTCTATCAGTATTGTATTAAAAAATATACAGCATATATATCTTTATATTCGTGACCGGATCGGAGGAACGACGTAACAGTTTGGTTGATGCTACAACGGTTATTAAAGGAAGGCAATACATTCATACTTCGACAGAAAAGGAACCCTTCAAGTATCTTTACCAAACCAAACAGTGGTAATATGGACCCTACAAGCTGAGTCATGCGCTTCTTATTATTCTAGCATCTATGTCTTTTGTGTGAAAGGTCATCACAGCATCTAATCTCGCATGTAAGGTACGTAATCTGAGTGTTTTGTGCCCTACATCTCCTATCATTACGGTATCTGAAGCAGAACATCAAGTTTAGTGGTCGGTCAGCTTGAGAGACACGGGAACCTTGCTCTTTCTTTTTATGCTTGATTAGTGTCATAATCAATGTGCTACAGAAATAACGTTCTTGCTGAAAAATTTTATAAGCGGACAAGTTTTCTGTTTGGAAGCACATTTGTCTGTTTGGGGTCCTACTAAAAAAGGACTAGAGATATAGGGGCTTGATTTATCATCATAATTTAAACTGGCCGTCTGTAGTAGTACCACTCATGTTATCCGCTATGTGCATATTACTTTTTTTCACCTGTATTTCATTAAGAGTGAAGGAGTCTAAACCACAACAAGCAACATTAGGGGCTCAGGGTCAATCGCATATAGATATAGAGACACTGTTCAGTTTTCAATAAAGCACAGTAGGGGCTCAAACCCCTCCTGTTTTTTATCAAAAAAAAATTGCATATAGAGACATTATATAGCTCACAAAAGTTCTTACTTAGGAAAAGTAGCTAAGTTACAACATCAACACACATTAGTTCAACACTCAAAGTATCATAGGGGGAAGTCTGCATTATACGGTAAAATTTAACAATACAACTCATGGTCCATGCCGCAACCACGTTCTACGATCAACACATAGGCAACCAATTCACTCCCGTTCGGAAGAGGGGTCAGGAGTGTAGAAGTAGCCATACACGGGCTCATCTCACCTGCAACAATTCAACAGTAGTAACACGAGACTGGAAACTCCGCAGATCTCTTACCCATATTATATAGCAAGGTAAACAAGTTGAGTTGCAAAAGGCATTTGTGCTAAAAGAATAAGGTACTTTTCTTATCAAGCTACATACGCCCTATTTGTTTGGGCTTGTTTGGCTTATAAGTCATGGCTAAAAGTATTGTTGGCTGATTTGGTGTGAGAGAAAAATATTATTCGTTGGCTGATAAGCCATGACTTATAAACTAGGCATAGCAAACTTTAAGCATCAGCATGAACATCAACAAGGGGTGGCAGTGGAGCTCGGTCTTCCTGGTCCTTGCATCGTATGTCTACTCTGATGCTAAAATTAAGTCAGGAACATTCTCATAACCGAGAGCGTGGCATTCCAAAATGTTTGGTAACCCTGAAGAGGTGTATAACCTTTTCACTAGGAAAGGCCAGCGCCCGTAACTTTTGTTTGTATGTTCAATGTTCTATTCTATGTGTGCTGCTTGTCATTATTATTATTGTATTACGTCTTGCCCTGGCTCAATAAATATCTTGGCTCCACCACTACGGGTCTATTTGGAATGCAGGAATAAAAAACACGGGAATAAAAAAAACACAAGAATGGGGTGAGTGTGTAGTAGTAAAACGTGGGAAATAACTAGAAGGGGTGTTTGGAACGCAGGAATCCATAACATAGAAAAAACGCAGGAAGTAACATTATTATTTTTTCTCCTCTCTTGCTGTCTTGGTCTTCGTGAATTCATTGGTTTGGACTGGATGTTTTGTTTCCCGTGAAATGAATGGAGGTAGGAAACTTTTCTTTGTTTTACTGTTGAAGTTTCCTTCATTCCAAACAACATTTCTGGAAACCTATCAAAGGAATGGATTCCTATGAATTTCCTTTGAAATTCCTTTTCCAAACATGTGTTTGTAAGGTTATTACGTAGCGTATGTGTTTATAAGGTTACGTAACATACGTGCAAGACGTATGTGTTTAATTTTTTCTATTTAGAAAAAGAATAATGTTCCTACGTGTGTACGTATGTAAACATATGTGTTTGAAGTGTTTTATAAAAAATAATGTTTTTATGGTTTGATACGAGGAAAACCTTCGTCATCACAGAACGTTGTACAACCTAATGTGCTTTATAGTTCTTGCATTAATATAAATCTTCTTACTTATCAAGTCCTAAATGATTATATGGTATCCGAAAAAAGACACCAACGACTTGATTAACGGTCGCCAGCTTGTGGTTCACGACCAATTACCTATTTTCAATTTTTTTTTCATAAAGTCATCGATGTTTACAGAAGCTTTTGCAATTAGTGAGTCTTTTGCATCGACGGTGGACTAGCCGCTAGCATTCTTCGGTGTGAGCCTTTTCTAACTTTCCAATAATGTCCGTTCTCGCCTGACTTTCCAATGTATAGCAGTCCTGTAAGACCACTGGCAATGCCGTTACCCAGGTGTCGTTGTTCGGTAGAAAGGGTAGTAGTACCGTACCACCTCAACATAACATTCCTCTGTGAAAGTGAACCGGTATAAAATATACCAATTTTTAAACGGGAATAAAATATACACTGCCTCATGCTTTGTTGAAAGAACATCCAGGAGACCTGTGGTTGACCTTGACGACCAAATTGGCGAGACTCCAGTCGGTCACAATAACAGAAAAGAATTACGCTGTGTGAGTCAAAAGTCGGTTGGGAAAGAACAGATTCGCGTGCTAGCTCTATTAGCTCAAGGCATGCACCAGCATGTTTGATTTATCTCTCATATGAATCAAGCATGTAGTCCTCCAATTAAGAATCCCTCGGTAAGATTAGATAATATAATTTGTTGGATTTTATTTACTTGAACTATTATTATTCAATTGAAATCAAACAAATATTAAGACCCAAATTAAATGTCAGGTGGAATAATAAAGTCTTCGTTCCATATGAAATTGTGACTAAAGATTGACTCGGCTTAAATGGATAACGATAGTGGACACCCGTTGCGAAGTTGAGAGAGAGCCGTGCATGGGCCAATCGCGCACCCGCGCATAGGCCGGCACCTCCTGCGCGCGGACGAACGCAGCCCAACTACGGCGGCCAGCCTGGTCGCGCCACCCACTGAGACGACGATGACTGTTCCGAGTCCGACAAATCGGGCCGAGCCACCCAAAGTCCCAGGCTCTCAGCCCCGAGCGGCCGAGCCCACGCAGAGCGGGCTGCGGGCGGAGGCGGTTCCCTCCGGTCGGCTGGCGGTGTGGCAGCGCTCGGCGCCTAGAGCGGACCGTGCAATTTGGTGGGACTTCGGCGATGGACCAGGCCGGCGTCCGGCGTGCATGGTGAATGGACTGGACCGATGGTGCAGGTGCAGGTGCAGCGCGCGCGGCTCGTTCGGTTTTTGCCAGTCATCAGCGCGGTTCATCACGGTCCCGTCTCGGTTTGTCCTTGTCGTATGCTCGCGTCCCGTGCTAGTGCAGGAGCGTCAGAATAAAGTTGTGCTGCACGGCTCCGCTGGCTCCAGCCGTTAGAGCACGGTGCCGGGTACGTACTATACATAATACTCCTACTGGTACTTGCTTCTCCTTCTAACAAGCGACAACTTAAGGCCTGTTTGCTTGCTCTTTCTAAAATTTTGTCAGCTAAATCTAGCCTGTTTTAGGGCTTGTTTGTTACCCCCTCATCAAATTTAGTCTCATCTAGTCATTTTTCATCCAAACACTATGACTAAATAAAGTTAAATGAACTTTAGCCAACTAGTCATCAAATTATTGTTAGAAGGGACTAAACCTCACATTTTAGTCACTTTGGAGCCAAACACCCTGACTATTTAGTCACCAAAACCAAACACCCAGTGACTAAAATTAGGGGTGTTTGGATCCACTACTAAAATGTAGGAGGTGTGTCGGGGGATATTACATGGGGTGTTCGGATACTAATAAAAAAATAAAATACATAATCCGTCAGTACTCCACGAGACAAATTTTTTAAGCCTAATGAATCCGTCATTAGCACATGTTTACTGTAGCAAAACATTATCAAATCATAGACTAATTAGGCTTAAAAGATTCGTCTCGCAAATTAGTTGCAAACTATGCAATTAGTTTTATAATTAGTCTATATTTAATACTCCATACATATATCAAATATTTAATAGCACCACTACTAAAATTTAGGAGGGCAAACAAACACTGCTACTGCTGCTGTGCCGGGTCAGCAAAAGACAGTTTGAGGTGAAAAAAAAAGAGGAAGAGAACATGTGGGGTATTTTCGAAAAGGTGTGCCCGTAGCATTATTGATTGATCGAATCCCAACTGCGGTTCTCCGTTCCTCTACATTTTCTCGCGCTTCCATGAGCAGACCAAGCGCCTCCGCAATTTTTAGATTTTTTACAGTTGCACGAAACTTTGCATATATAGCCACCCGCAATAATTCTGCCACGGAAGTAGAGAGACCCACCACGAACGCCGCGGGGTTTCTCCACTGTGCGTGCACCTGCGCCATGCCACCGCCGACATTCAAAGTCCCACAAAACGCGGCGAGCGATTCACATCGATCGCCGACGACCGCCGGCACCGATCCAAAGTCCAAACCAAAGAATTCCGCGGTTCCGATCCTTCTCCATCGCGCGCCTAGCAGCCCGGCAGGCTCGGCCCCTCGGCCTTGGGCGGTGGCGCGGCGGCGATGGCGACAATGTCTCTTGCTACGCCCACCGCCACGACGGTGGCGGCGATCCTGGCCCCGTGCTCGGTACGCCCGAGCCGGCCGACGCCGGCGTTGCCGCCGCCCCGCGCCGCTGCTGCCGCGGCCGCGCTCCGCATGCGGCCCTTGCCGAGGTGGTGCTCGCAGAGCGAGTATCCGACCAGCGTCGGCTGGCTGCACCGCCACCCACGCCCGTTCACGCGGCTGCACCGCGACCCCTCCAGCAGCACCGCCGGGCCCCGCCGCTTCTTGGCCCCGGCGCCGGTGCCGGTGCCGTTGCTCGTGGCCTGCTTCTGCTTCTTCCCCTCGTCCTTGACGACCGCCGCCGCGGCCACGGGCGGCGCCGACGCCGCCGCAGGCTGCTGCACGAAGCCATTGCTCGTCACCCGTTCCTCGGTCGCCTTCACTGCCTCCGGTGGCTCGTACCTGCCTCCGACACCACCGGTGCACGTCGCCCCGCCGCCGTCCTTGTGCTCCGAGCCGCCATGGCCATTCGCCGCGCTGAATCTGCAAGTGCAGACATACGGGCGGTAAAGAAACTCAGGCAAGTAACATTATATATAAGCAGGTAGATGGTGGCAATGGCAACGCAAACGCAATGTGCACGCAATGGTTGCGGACGTGTACCGAGCGAGGCCAAGCAAGATCACGCGTGAATGCAACCAAACCCGGCAGGCGCTGCTAGGCTTCCCTGTGATCGACAAGTAGCACCCCCAGAGTGTGAAGCAACCAAAACCAGGAGAGGACGGCATGGGCAAGGGAACACAGGAATCATGCGCCGCGGATGGATGGATCATGGTCATGGGAGGACGTGCCTACAGGAGTGTTTTGTCTGACCTGACTGCAGTGGGGGAGGTGGTGCACTAAAATAATTGGATCCATGGCGTCCCTCCCTCATGGGTCAAGCACTCGAGCTGGCATTGCATCGCACACTATGAAACAGTCCAACAGAGGGAGATCAAAAGTAGGAGAACGGAGAACCTAGTTACTAGCATGCTTTCCATTTGTTTTTTCTTATTATATTAGGTACGTGATACTGATACTCTACCTATTGTGCCGTCAAAATCGCAAAGTTGCTAGCAGTCTCTTTAATTTTGGCAGTTGTTTAATCCGTACCTCATGCGACCATCATCATCATCAGCGCCATGCTGTGCACCACCACCCATGCTCCTGCCGCCGCAATCCACCACCACATTGTCGTCCTGCCGAGTCAGGAGCCACGGGGAAAGCAACGGATTCAGCTAGATCTATAGTCATCTCCTCCATGAGTGCAAGAACCACCAGACCAAAGAGACATACCTGGGGCAATGCCAGGCGCCTGGCCACTCCAGATTTCTGCCCGAGAACAAGATCCGCACTACTCGCATGCAGCAGCTTCGCCTCGCGATCCTCATCCTCGCCGCCTGCAGCCAACAGCCACCCACCACGGTTCCTCGCGGCGGCATTCAGCGGGGTCTGCGGCGCCGTGGATGCGGCCCCGGCCAGATCTGAGCTGGCCGCCGCCTGCAGGGAGGACGGCTGTGGCCTCCGCCTGATCCTCATGGATGGGGGAGGGTGGAGAGGGGGAGTGAGAGAGAGGAGAGAGAGAGTGAGGGGCAGGCAATGGAGATGGAGATTTGGGGAGGGTGCAAATTAAAGGGCGAGGGCTTTTGGTTCCGGCTTGCCTTTTATGCCTGCCTGCCTCCTCAGTCCTCAATCCTCATGCCTGCATGTATTTAATTTATGGGGATGATGCAGTAATAAGCTGTGTAGTATGGAATAGTGGTAGATGGTGCAGTTTTCGGCACTGGCCTGCTGTCTTGTCTTGGCGGGGCATGCACGCCACATGCGCGTGCCCAGCACCGGACGCCGTCGCCTGGCCGTCGGATCGCCAACCGGACGGCGCAGATCGACCCCGACGACGTGGTCGATCCGCGAGGCCTGCTGGCTGCTGATCCCTGCCCACTGGTGTAAGGAACTGGCATAACGGCATGTGCCTCTGGAGGCCGGAGCTCCGGTGTATCCTGTGTGTATGGGGATGTAAAACTACAGTCTACATTTTTTTTTACTTTTTTTTTTGTCATCAAATCCTCTCTGGCTTTTGGTTGGTTGGAATGGAACGGTCAGATCAGGGTGGGGCGGTGATTTTTAGTCAGATGGAGCAGCAGTGGCAAGAACTGGGAGCGAACAGGGGAGTAAAGCAAAGGTTGGGCGCTGTCAGGGGAGCATGTGTGGTCGACGCATCCAGCTTTTGGGCAGCATGGCGGGGCAGGAGGCAGGAGCCAGTGACAAATGAATCATCTCGCCTCGTCAGTCGCCTACTCGCCTCTGCTGCGGGCCGGCACCGGCCAGTTGGCACCCGCATCGTGGGCATTTCCGTCCCGGTGCTAATGTTCGGCTCGACCATCGCAACTGGATAGTTGCATGGCTTGGCTAACAGATCGAACGGGAGGAGGACACGGTCACACGGCAAAATTGCCGCTCTGGCCGTTGCCTTGCAAACTGGTGTATCTCCCAGTACGGCAGTACAGCGTGAAGATACCTACCTGCCTGACTTGAGGGAGGAAAGGAGGATATGGGCGAAAGGAACTGTGCAGAAGGGCCCTTCGTGGGCTAGAATGACGCTTGCGTGGATGCAGGCTCTTTGACCCATCGACTTTTGCACTGTCACAGCTTCACGGGATGCGGACTGTACAAAAGGGCCTTCGTGGGCTGGAATACTAGCTCGCAGCACAGGCAGTGATGTATGTCGTCGTGGGTTTTTGTGTTGTTGCGGAGCAGACAGGTCTGATGCGATTTGCCGAGTTCAGTTCATGAGTCTATGATGCTGAACTATCACTGCTCCTTGGGGCCGGCCAAGTATCAACAGTGCAGACATTTTTGTTAGAATTTCAAATTCATTGAAGAAGCATTCAGTAAGAACAGCTCTCAGACCATCGAAACATCCAGTTTAAAACAGCTTGCAGATCATCGAAGCATTCGGTGAAAACACCTTGCAGAACATCGATCATTCGGTAAGAACAGCTCGCAGATCATCGACAGGTTTATAAAGAACAGCTTGCAGATTATCTGTATGTGCATAAGAATGAGGCCTGAGCATAATACTCACCACAAAACTATCCCTAAGCCTGAATACAAATAACACAAGTTATCTTATCTGAGGAAAGCAGAGAAATCATGCCACTTGCTTCTTGACTTGCAGACGAATTGTCTTACTGGCTTACTGCAAAATGTCGACAGACTCAGCCGAAAGTGGAGACCAGGATTTCTTTGCGAAAGGCAGCAAATGCAGACCAGAACTTAACCTCGTAAGGTCAAACAGCTGGGCACACTAAAAGCATCTGCTCAGCGCCTAACCTTCTCCGGCAGATGTCCTTCAAGCTTTCAATATACATCATAAATGGCATCAAGAACATACATATCTGCTTATGTAGGTACTCCATAGTACATTGTTCGCTAGGACAAAAATGCCAGCAATGGCGTGGGTGTCTATACATAAACTTTGGACAAAAATAATTGCTAGCATTAGTGCACATGGCTATACAGAACCATTTTTCAACCTTATAAACAGTTAGGCACTGCATCCTCCCACTGTCACATCAACCCCTACAAATAAATTTGGTACTACAAATTATGTGATTCACCCAACCAAACACTCCATCCACACAGCAGCTTCCTTGATGATCAGAAACATGCATGAGAACAGGAAGGGAATCACAGAAGACATAGGAGCATCTATATCATCACATCTATACTATTCTTTATTTCAGATTAGCACTAGATATGAACTTTACAATATGATGTCCCCGAAACCTCTGCTGAAGAATTTGTGTGGGTATTGGGAGGTAGCATGGACAACTTTACTCTATATATGGATTTAGGAAAATCCTCGGTCTCATGCCGACCTTACTTTCATCACCGTGTTGACTATTATCCTAGAAAACAACAGATCATATATAGGCACACAGCAAAAAAACAGTAGTTGCCTTTATTGTTGGCGCATTTGATGCTGCCTGATCAAAAGTTGAGCATAAACCAGTTCATTCCAGGAATCTGGTACTCCAGGAAGGCACCAGTGGCTGCAGTCCTGATATCTTTCCGGCGATCTCCTCTCCTCATCAGTAAGATTCTGCTTGCGGTAGATGGAAGGGTGTGCATCCTTTCTGTAGTCAGTCATTCTCGTTATGTTCAAATAAACAACAGGAGTTTTCATCTTGTGGATCACATCTTCCAGAATGCTCATCTTTGGTGGGTAGGTTGAAAGGTACTGTTCATTGGTTATTGGTTCGCTCTCCTTGTCACAGCTACCACCTGAATTCCATTGGCCGCCACTGCATAGTGGAGATGCACAGCAAAATATTTGTTCAGTTGACCAAGATCAAATATATCATGTGGTAATTTGCAATATAAAAGGTGATGCACACCTAAAATGAGATGCTGAGTAGCCTCTGAATAACACAGCAGTTTTTCTGGGGTTAACATTGGCATCAATCCACTTGGACCAGGTGAGAAGAGCTTTATGAAAGGCATCCATGACATTTAGCTCATTATACACATGGTTACCTTCCTGATAGTAGTCCTTCCTGTGGCACATGAAATCTGTCATCAGTGTTTAAGCAATAATGAAGTGGAGATTCTTGTTCAACCAAAGAACAAGGTGAGTTACCCAAGAGCAGTTTTCTCATGTGTCCACCAATGCCCAGTATTGAAAATGAGAAAGTCTGCATCCTTGTACTTCAATGATGATTGCTCGACCAGATCAAGCCTGAGAGTTTCCTTTTTCTTTCCACTGCTCACTTGCATCTCCCATTCCTGGACTAGGAATGGGGAGCGGAAGAACTCCACGCTGCAGTTATAATCCTGAATGACACGAGTGGAAAAGAAAATTAGGCAACAATACTAAATAGTTAAATCAACAAACATGTGCATAGTGTAGAATCTGAACTTCAAAGACTATAATACCGTGAACAGGAAAGAGTATGAGCCTTCAGTCTTAAACTCACGCCTGCCAGATGCCTCGAAAACCTTCCTCTTGTCTTTGACAGAATTCCTCAAAATACACACAAGGGATTCCCACATGTTCCTATTGAGTGAATCACCAACGAAAACAAGTCTTTTTCCTCTCAGCCTCTCCAACATATCGGTTGGGTTCAATCTGAAATGACACAAACATGATCTTGGCAAATTACAAACCAAGCTTGAAATGAAATCATTAAAATCATTGCATTGTTCTAATAACGTCATCCGCACCTTGGGATACTGCATCCACTGGGTTGCCAGCGGAGCTTCTGGTAAGCTAGATCTCGCCGACCGTTGAGATAGCAGTCAAAGGGCTCATCAATGTGAGGACATGATCCCTCAGGGTAGAGAGGGTATGAGTCATCCCTAACCCAATTCCCATGGAACATATCGCAACTAGCCACTTCCTTGAACCAATCAGCTTTCTTATTTCCACCAGAACCACCATCCTGTTTTATTGATGACCTGTTACCCTTACTGTAATTTCCAGATTTTGAGGAGTTTGCTTGGGCCGAATGGTTCTCTGATGAACCAGCACTGCCCTGAGCAGCATCTCCCTTCGGATTATTCACTGTATCAGTGCTCCCGCTGGGAGCAACTTGGCTCTGGGTCTGTTCCTGATTCTTCACAGGGGGAGACGCTACAACTGTGTTGTTGTTCCTGGGAGATCCAACATCTTTCTGCCCTACCAATGCCAGACTCCCAGTTTGATTACTAGTTGGAATGACACTCACATTTCCCTTACTGCCCTCAACTTCGCCATCTCCAGCATTGCTCTTTACTGGACTAGAACTTCCAGGTGATTGATGGCTTGCATCTCCACTTCCACTGTCTGGTTGAGCATCTGAACTCGAACTCTCACTGGTCACAGCCATTGTATCTTTACTCTTCCCCAAACTAGAACTTACATCTGATGTATGGCTTGCATCTCCATTTGGATTTCCTAGCTGAGCATCTGAACCTTTATTCAGATCAACCTTGGTATCAGTGCCATTTCCAGAAGAACCCCTGCTCCCGGCTCGAACAGCATCTCCAGCATGAGGCTTTACAGTGCTGCTATTTCCAGCAACCGAACCACTGCCTGAAACGCCACTTCCACTCCCTGCCAGATTATTAGAAGATCCAGTGCTCAAATCTACCTTCCCCAAGCTGCCACTCCCCGCAGAACTATTGGTGGAAACATCACTTGCAACTTTGGCCTCAGCTCTGACAGTGCTGCCATGTCCGGCAGCAGCATTGCTCAGGGCTCCGCTTCCACTTCCCGACTGCTTATTAGGCCCATCGACGCTATTGTCGCCGACCTCCGCGGCGGCTCCATGTACGGGTGAACTACTGGCCGGGGATCCACTGCCGCCTCCCGTGGAAACGCCTCCGTGGCTTCGTTTATTCAGATCCACCGCGTCGTTCGGAGCACCGTCACTTGAGGCGGAACTGTTCGTTGGAGCTCCGCCTCCGCCAATGCCAGTACCGGCCAAATCGGCTGCCAGAGGCACGCTCCCAGCGCCCCCATTGCCGATCGGAGCGGCGCCTCCACTTCCCAGCTGCTTACTAGACCCAGCCGTGGCAGAGCTGTTGCTTCCCGCCGCGCTCCCGACTTGCACAGTGCTCGCATCACGGGTCACCTGGCCACCGCCTCCGCCCGATCCGCCGGACGTGACGCGCAGCGGCTCTGGCGAGGGGGCGGGCGAGTCGGCGGGCAAGATGGACGAGAAGAGGCTGGAAATCTGCGAGCGGTACGGCGCCGTGGACGCGTACACTCCGCCAAACCACGAGGCGCCGGCGCCGGCGCCCGCGGAGGAGGGAGGCGAGGCTAAGGCGACGTAGAAGGTGAACGCGGCGAAGGCGACCGCGAACGCGTACAGCGTGAGCCTCGCGCGGCGCCGGGAGCGGCCTCCGAGCGGGCTGAGCGGCCCGGCGTCCGCGCACACCAGGCCGCCGCTCTGCTTCCACAGGCTCTTCATGCCGCCCGGCCGCGGCGGCGGCGGGCTCCGGTGTGCCGCGCTCCGGGGTGTGGAGCGCGGCAAGTGGAGGAGGCGGAGGCGGAGGCGACTAGCACGCGAGAGTGGCCGTGGTGGTGGTGGGCTGGTGGCGGTTGAGGTGAGATGGCGAGTGGTGCTTTGGAGAGGAAGGGGTGGTGGCTATAGGAATTTTGGTTGGGTGCCGAAAACTAACAAACCCACTACTAATCCGTTTAGATTTTGTGGACTGATGAGGGTCAGCGGAGAAACTGCAAGATTGCGCTGGTCAAAATATAGCAGGGAAGCGGTAGCCCACGAAGAAATGTCTCATCTCATCACTTTACGAATTTATGGTTGACTTTCCTTGTTGGCTACCCCTTCTTCAGGAAAAAAAATCAATTATAATATTCTTCCAAAAAAAATAAAATTCTAATATAGGGAGTAATATAGAGTCAAACCATATTAAATCTGATCAAGTTTATATGAAAAAAATATCTAATGATATCAAATAAATATCACTAGATTCAGTATGGAACATATATTCACAATACCTTTATTTGGTATCACAAATATAAACTCACTTTTCTATAAACTTAAACAAACTTTAGATAGTTTGACTAAAGGCCTTAAACTAATTCAGCAGTATTTTTCAGCGAAAGAACGTATTTTCCTCTCATAACACATCAGCATAAGCCAAATTTTAGCGAAACGAATAGAGCATATATATCCGGATTCAGAAAAAATACAAATGATAATTTTGTTGTCATTATTTGCTTGGTATAGATAAGGAACTAAGGGCCTACTTGATAGAGCCTCACTTTCAGTTTCTTCGAACAAATTACATGGATTCCTACAATAGTTAAAATACAACTAGCAATTGATTGGCTTTCAAAGAATCATTTCTCCATTTACCTACAAAGAGCTAAAAAAACTCCAACTACTCCCCATTCATCAGCACCAATTGCTTCTCACTTGCTCATCACTGTATTTTTCCATCAGAATCACCTCAGGAATCAGGAAGTGGCCAAACTGGCTCTAATGTGTAGCTTACATGGGAGGGGCACGTGTGGAAACACAGAGGGGTAAATCAGGTGGTGAGGACCATTGGTTCCTTTGGTCGACAAGCATGGTCATCATACGAAGTGATATCAAGATCACTTTTCTTTGTCGTGTGTGTATGGAATAATATGATATACAAGATGAAATATTATGGATGGAAATCAAAATAACTAAAACTTGATCCCAACATTGGATATGGACAAGGGACGTAATTTAGTGCAGGGGGGCCTGAAAATGAGTGCTGAATGGATGATTTTGTTGGGACATATTTTGTGTGGAATCAAAGGGACGGACACACACCTAAAAGAAAAGTATAGCATGACAGTGAGACAAACATAGTCGGACGTCAAAATCGCCGGACGTCTTTTAGTCGCTCCTAAAATTTATGTCACATCGAATATTATATACTAATAAAAAGTATTAAATATAGATTAATTACAAAACCAATTACATAGATGGAGGCGTGCGAGATTTATTTTATTTTAAGCCTAATTAATCTGGCATTAACACACGCCAATGGCGTTGTCAAATCATGGACTAATTGAGCTTAAAAGATTGATCTACAAATTAGTCATAAGTTTTGTAAGTTCCATCGTGTCTAAATATTTGGTTAGAGAAATTTTAGAGCAGGAGCATGGCTAAATACAGCCAATGGCAAGAATTGTGAGCATCTTGATCTACTCGGAGTTCCATCGCACAGGTTAGAGAATGCATGGCTAAATACAGCCTATTTTGACCTAGTATGTTCGAAGAGATTTTGAAATAATGTGATCCACACCACACCAACGGGCACAGGAGCTACCCAATAAAACAGGCAATGGAAGCAAAGCAGGGTCTGCCAGTGCACTGCTTTGTGAGCGCGGTGGTGTACCGGGGACATCCCAAAAGCCGCGTTATAATTGGAGGGTGGATTTTGCACACGTACCTGTGGCCGCCAGGCCTATCATGGTCGTAGGAGCGCGCTAAGATTCGGACACAGCGAACGTGTCGGTTTGTTGATGCTGACGGAAGGAACGCGGGGCTCGGTCCAGCAATGGCGCCCCTACCCCAACCCCGTCCGGCCGCCTCCTCCGCCGCCCGCTCCGGCGGCGTCACCGGCGCCTCCGCCTCGCTGCCATCTCTCCCATCCCCGCCACCGGGGCTAGGGCGGTGGTAGATGAGCTCGAGGTTGTCGGAGCCCGCGACCGAGCGCGGCGGAGGCCGGCGCGGTGCCGAAGCTGCAGCTGCCGGGTTGGGGGCGGCGTCGGCTTGAGGAAACGAGGCCATGGGCGGCGACGACAGAGGAGAGAGAAGAAATGCTTGAAGATTCATGCTGCAAAGGTTAAAAATGGCCGAGATAAAACGTGCGCCCACATATACGTGTGGTCCTGCTTTTTCCGTTATAATTGCTCCATGCTGCTATATTTGCGGGTCCTTCTTGATCGGGTGCGGCTCGCGACGCGCATGCCATGCGTTTCGAGTGTGCATACGATCCAGGGAACAGACCGGGGCGGCGGGCGTATAGCGAGAAGTCCCGTCGCGCTATTGGGCTTCATGGGGCAATTGGACGCGTGGCGTTGTCTGGCTGAAACCAACGAGGGCTGGATGACTCCGTCCGATCGGGAAAAAAAAATCTGGTGCAGTACTGGCTGCACTGGCCGGGCGTGCAGACCCTCCCTGATCTCGTGACGCGTGTCTATCAAAGAAACCACACGGCAGTCGGAAAGCACCTGCTTCGCGGCTCTTTTCATCTCAGCACATCGGCTTGCTTCTTCGGCTCTCTCTCCCGCTGGCTCGCGTTTTGGCTCCATCCAGCTGTCTTCGTGTGACACGTGCCATGAGATTTTGGAGGGTCTGCACGGCCGGGCAGTGCAGGCAGGCTGCACCGAATTTTTTTTCGGTCCGATCAATCCGGTAACAGAATTGAGCATCGACCTCAACTGTAGGTGAACGTCTTAATATCACCAAACTTGACCCGCGTGTGTCTTCTCGGTCGCCATGTGTTGAAATTGAAAATTTATGTCTATGGTCTGTGGATTGGAGGACAGTGTCCCCAAGACTCCCATAGTCCCATTGTCAAAAGTGCTGCGCTTCTTCAAGCTTGCAAGGAAAATTTCGGGCCTCCCAAATCCTAACTTAACATGCTTTTTGTACAGATTCTTCTATGTTAGCCCGTACAATACTCGTATAACCAATTACAAAGAAAAATTAAAGATAGCTACTGTAGTGTAGTATTGTTCTGGTACTTTGGTACGGTCTGCAGTGGATCTTGCGTTGTCTTTGACATAAGTGCCCGTTTGACAAACGAACTACCATGTTCGCTTGGTTGATAAATTATTCTTTGACTATTTATTAAGTGAAAAAAATACTCGTTTGAGGCAACGATGGCTCATGCACACACATGCTCCAAGGCTGGATAACGAATTTGGATCGCATCGCTTTAGTTTCGTTGAGCTCGGCTCGTTAAGATAATATTAAATACTTGAGCTAGCTCGGCTTCGTTTCGTTATCGTTAAAAATATTCGGCTCGGCTCGTTAAAAGCTCGATTGGCTCGTTTCATGAGCGGTATAAAAATACATAAAATATAATATTTGTATTTATCTAAAGTTTGAGAATAATAATAATACAAAAGAAATGCATCTAGACTAGTTACCAGTCAATTTATAGGGTCTAGACCAGTTACTAGTCAATTGTAAAATGCAAGACATGAAATAATACAAAAATTAATACAAGTTTTGATACTTTTTTCCTAGAAGCTTGGCTCGTTTAGCTCGCGAGCTGGCTCGAGTTGCTCGTTATAACTAACGAGCTAAAATCTTTCGACCCAGTGCACACATGCTCACATGCAGTTTTAGCAGCTCTACAGTAGCAGCTGCTCTTTGCGCGTCTGTGTGTTTGCCGTGTCCGTACATGTGGGGTCTCTCGGCCTCTTGGGTCAGGAAATCTGCGTCGGTGGCGTCGCGCTTGGACTTTAGGCGAACCGGTCCAAAAGCGTACGGGCTGCTTTACATCGGAATTCTTTTTTATTTATTTTGGGAATACTTTACATCGGAATTCGGAAAATTCTTTTTTTCGTGAAATTTTTTTGGGAACCTTCGTTTTACAAATAGTGTCCAAACATTACATCGGAATTCGGAATTAGCTACATTTAATGTATTGATAAACTATTTGGGGTTATCTAGTCCTGCGCCTGCCTTGCCTTTGCCGGCCTGAGGAATGAGGATCGATGGTTCGGTGCCTGAGAAATTTGATGTGGTCTCGCTCGACTCGACGGGAAGTTGAATTCCTGAGTCCCTGAAAATTCAGAAAAAGGAGGTAGGAGTGGTATATACATCCAGAGGTTTTACTGCAGCCCCAAAAACGCATCGAGCCATCAACAGGAGTAATGCTGATGAGCTGATCAGAAACATCATCATCGTTATGTGGAAATGGAAAGGAAAGGAAAGCACTGGCTATATATGAAAGCTCGGTCTACGTACTTCTTGTGGAAGAGAAATAACCTGCAACGCGCGCGAAAGGTTAGGTACAAGCTCACCGGATCGGTGCCGGGAAGCACGCCTGTGTGGGAACGTCGACGCCACGCCAGTGTGTCGGCTACGCACAAGTCCGCCGCACTCGCCAATTTTGGCACGTCTCTACTGGAGTACGTACCACTGAAGACTGAAGAGCCAAACCGGGTCAAAACGGAAGGGGTGCGTGAGTGCGTGACCTGAAACCGATCGATGCGCCGGACACGCTGACAGGGGGCGGATTAAACTATCCGATTCAGATCCCCTGATGTGAAACATAGACATCAGGATTCAGGATCTATAGTGGAACACAATTAAAAAATATAAGCATACAAAATGCTCTCAGTTGCCACACTTTTGCGATTAAATAAGAGAGTAATATAATAAAGCGAAGAAATGCCTCGATCGAACATTCTTTAATTTGCGATCACATGCACCCCAAACCAATCACGCTTCCTGGACCCGAGCTGTGTTGGCCTGATACTGTACTCCTTTTTGGCGTGGGGTTGCTTTCAGAGATTCGTATTCGCCGATACTTCCATCCTTAATCGTCCGTCCTGGTGCATAGTTTGTGTCTGCCTTGTTCGCTTGGTCTTATCAGACCATCGTATTAGTTATGGTATATTATTTTTCTCTTATAATAAATTAACGTCGGTCAATTTTTCAGCCGCGAAAACGATCAGCCGCAGCTTTGGTTGATCGGTTCACGGACGGAACCACTTTTACCATTCCTGAATCCTGATCATGATTGTTTTTTAATATTCTATTTTTTTTAGTACCGCGGATTGGTCACATAGTTTATTGAGCATTCCTAGGAGAAAGTGTCCAGTATTAGGCTACTAGATGGATGCAGATCCATGGAGTACGATTGAAGCAAAGCAAAGCAAGGGCGCAAGGCCATGTTGGCGCTTTAATTCTGGCTTTGCAAAGCATGGCACTTGAATTGTAAAGGTGGTAAAAGAAGGAAAGCATGCAAAGCGGCCGCGATTTGCTAGTGCCATACATGTATGCACGCAGCATGTACTGAGATGGCTGGCACCATAAGCACACCATGACAGTATGGCTAAGGTGGCCAACAGGCTCAAGGCTCGTGTGTATTCATCTTCTTCCTCAACTCCAATTCAGAGGTTAGGGGAGGGAGGGGTGAGCAGCACTGGCGGATAGTTGACGGCGCAGCTGGCGATGCGGTGGGGAGTAGAGGAATAAGATTTTAAGATGTGGAGTACAAACTATAGAGGTCCTCCAATAGCCGAGGGGCTTAGAAGAAGGAGGAGCCCGACGGTGGTGGCGGGAATGGGTGGCGAGCGACGTGGCGGGGCGAAAAAGCTTTGTCTTTCTTCTTGATTGGGGTTAGGGAAGGGCAGGGATTCAAGGAAGGAGCGGTGGAGGTGGACGATGAGCGGTGGGAGAGGCTACTGAAGTGCGCAGACAGAAGGGCGCTAATGTTATCAATGCACGCACGTTGAGGATGAATGTCCTATATGATCGTGGAGTCGAGTTGCATGTACAATGTATAATACCAAGCTAGGAACTGGATTCACATCGATCGGTCGATGGCTTTAAGACCTTTTTTACCTGCACTTCTATCTCAACCTATATGTGTTGGGGGATCAAAGTAGAAAATTAGTTAATTTTCCACCCTAACACAACTAAATAAAGGTCTAAAGTGGCCTTTGTTTTTTTAATCATGCATACCCATAAATGCATTCAAGTACTTTCACCTCTACAAGAACCTCCAAAAGGTTATGCTCATAGATCTCAAGATTGATAAACAAAAGAGTGTTTAGGATGACCACTAAAAAAACTCGACCCGTGAGGGTAAGACGGTCCCGGGCATTGTGCTTAAGAAGAAGATCTTCTCACGCAGGTCAAGAAAGCCCCCGAACCTTTGCCCCCACCTATACACAGCGGCACCACAGCTAGACCTGTGCTATGGCGTAGGATAGATGAGGGATTTTTTTTCAACGCGCAGATAAACTGCTCCTCCTCCGACTAACAAATCCACCCCGAGGGGTTCGAACTCTTGCCTGCAAGGTGCAAAGCGCACAGCCAAACCAACTAGTCTAGCATTCGCTTGCAGGATGACGACTAAGGAGCATATATCTAATAAAAACATCGTGAGTTTTGCAAATGGTACATATTTATCAAAAATAACAAACCTACAAAACTTTTATTAATATTTACAAATTTGGAACATGTATACTTCTGATCGGAGGTGCTATTTCCGGCTGCTGTTCTCCTTTTATTTGCTCGAATGTGCAAGGAGAAGTTTGCTACCAACAGAGGCGGAATTTGCAGTGTGATTATGCGTGTGGCATGCATTTCCTAACCAAAAGGCCTCTAGTCCTTATTGACGCAAAGTATGTCAACGTGCATGAATAATCGATGTTCTTGTGACGTTATGTCACCCTGACATGGTCTGACTTGGTCACGACTCACGACCTGTGTCTGTGTGGGTCGGCAGGCGCTGATGAGGCCCACGTTTCAGTCATAGCGAGCAGCAATTAACATGAGATGAACCGCTTGACGCTTGTGTCAATGCCTCGATCCATGTTGCAAGGACCGTACGAAATTCACAGCCACATTGTATGGCTGGTGGTAGGATAATACCGGTACACCGTATACATCAAATAGTGAAATGATGAGCATATGCATATATACGCCGTCCTGGCGTCCTAGTACATTTTCAAGATGGACTACACTCCAACATGTCCTATACTACGATTATACCCTAGGATATGGATCCAATCCGGACGAGAGCGACCTGCAACGGCAATTGAACAAGCATACAAGTACAGCAACAGCAACGGCAACAGCAGCAGCGCCGGTGTGACTGAAAGCCTGACCCGTCGTCTAGCTGCTGCCTCATCTCACTGTCTGCCACTGACAGTGCGGGTGCCCTGGAAAGAACGGGCCAGCGCCCAACGCTGGTTCAATTCGGTCTGGTGCGGCCCGCCGGGGCCGGGCCCCGGCTGCGCCTCGCAGAGCCGCTGCCGCTGACCCAACTCCCAAGAGCGGCCACGTATGACTTGCCGGCGGCCCGCCGCCGCCGACGTCTGGGCGCCAGTCTCCGACTATCCATTCCAGTGTGCCGAGCCCGAGCTACGCTACTGCGTGCTCCGTCGGCACGACGGCGGCGTGGTCTCGTCCGCCGTCGGTGGGCGTACACCGACCGCGCGTTGGTCAGATGGAGGCAAATGGCCGAGCGGCGCGGAGTCCGTCGGGTTTTCATCAGTGATCGGCCGGGGGATGCGGGAAACCGACGGGTTAAAAGGCCCGGTTTGTCCTGTCGACACAGACGTTGGTGCTTGGTTAGTGCGGTGTTGACCTCTGCATACTTCCCATTCGGGGGGGGCGGGGGCGGTGCGGGGGACCATGCCATGCCATGTCCGATTCGGCCTCCATCTTCTTTTGCCCATGCATGGGAGGAAAAGGGTAGGCCGGCGCCGGCATGTGCTGCCGCGTTGGGTTTGCACCGGCGCCCTAGGCGCAGGTGGCAGGTCATTCTGGTGTGGTGCGTGGCGCGCGTACGCCATGGACTAGCCGAGTGTGGGTGTGGGACGCACCATCGCCCATTGGATGCAGTACACGACTACCTTCGTCCCCATGTCCGGTTGGATTGGACTTCTCCAAAGAGATGAGTTAGGGATTTGGAGATTTCAGAGTTGTGGCCTTGTGGGCCAGGGATTTGGAGATTTGTAGTTAAGCAGAGGGACGAGGACGGGGCAACCGCCAGAGTCATCGGTTTCATGAGATAGAGACGTAGAGCGAGCCACAACGGGGCTTGTGAGCCCATTTTGAAACTCTCTAGGCAAATGGAGCCCCATTTGCTTTGGGCCTCAAATCCCGAGAAACGCCTTGCTTAATTCGTCACGTGCAAATTGCTCGCCATATCGTCATGGAGAAAACACTCTCGTTTAATTAGTAAAGAACCCAGCAATAATCTCAACTCGAATCAAGATCAATACACAAACTAGCTGTATACGTACGTACGTACGTACGTACATACATACACGTCATACCTCAAAGTAGTAGTACTACTACTAGTACCATTTTTTATTTTTAGTATTATTTTACATAACAGAACAATTACTATACAGGAGTATATACTTGAGCAAAGCACCTAATGCAAAGAACGACCAACCAGACGATTAATTCACTTGAAGCAGCTGGCAGGCCCATCCCCGGGGTCCACCGGCGAAGGCGACGGCGCGGCGCCAGCGCCGTCCTCCGGCTCCGGGACGCCGACGGGGACGTCGGAGAAGGCGGCCAGCACGCGGCGGACGCTCATGCTCCGCATCGGCCGGAAGCTGAACGACCTCGCCGTCGTCTTCCCCGGGGCGAAGACGTCCGACGACTTGCGCAGGATGAGGTAGACCAGCGCCTGCACCACCGCGAACACGGCCACCTTGACCAGCGCGTGGCCGAGCTCCGGTGGCACGATGGACGACGTCGCCTCCACGTTGCCCATTGCTCGGTCGCGATTGCTTGCTGCCGAGACGATCGAAGGCGGCGATATGATGCTCTCTGCAACGACTGTGCAAGCAGCTAGCTTTATGATGGAGTTCTTGGATGCGTCATGTACATCGGACGACGGTTTATATGGAGCGAGGGAGAGCAAAAAGATAGCTACCGGGCCGTCTGTGCAAGGCTTGTACGCAAGCGATAGTGTGTGCTGGGGTTTCAGATACGTGTTTGTGTTTGTTCGGCTCCGGCGGTGTCGATCCATCAGATCAGCTGGGCGGTGCTTGTGGGCGAAGGAAGGAGAAGGAGGCGCGCAAGCCAGCCTGCACGTTTTGTTTCCACTACCGAAGCTTGATTAGCATGCTTCGTCAGGCTAATCATCTCTGGCCCCGTTTGTTTCGCTGAAAAATATTTCGGCTGAAAAAATAAGCTCAAAAAAACGGATTATAAGAGAAGCGAACATGGTCTGTCTCTACCGTACCAGTCAGACCTTGCATTGGACTTAGGGGGTGTTTGGATTCGGCTACTAAAATTTAGAAGGTATGTCGGGAGGATGTTGTTTGGGGTGTTTGGATACTAATAAAAAAATAAATTACATAATCCGTCGGTATTCCACGAAACGATTTTTTAAGTCTAATTAATCCGTCATTAGCACATGTTTACTATAGCAAAACATTGTCAAATTATGAACTAATTAGGTTTAAAAAATTCGCCTCGCAAATTAGTCGCAAACTATGCAATTAGTTTCGTAATTAATCTATATTTAATACTCAATGCATATATTAAACATCCGATGGAACAACGACTAAAATTTAGAAGGGGCGATGCATGATAGCTCAAGACCGGTTCAGTTAGCTAGGACAAGCTAGAATTAAAGGGCGCGATCCATTCTCGCTCGCTTTTCTGGTTGGCGGCCTGAATGAATCTCACAGGAGGACAGAGTGACGGGATAACGTGGGGAGCTCACGTGGCGGCTATCTAGCCGGGTTCTCCGGACGCGGTTCCAGGCAGCTTAGCTGCCCTCTTGCAAGCCAAGCAAGTGCTTTGCAGCGTCGAGAGTCAGCAGCAATCGCTCATGCATGCTTGCTTCGCAAGCCCATGACCTGATTGCTTCTTAGCTTCTGCATGCACGAGACCGACCAGGCGTCCAGAGCGTTGCGTTTTGTTCTGTTCATCATGCGAAGGGTGGTGAGGAACCGGACGGGAGGAGGTACCAGAAAATGTGGCGTCGTCGTGTCACTTTATGCAAACTGCCAGCAGGTTCGTCTGTCTGTCTACTCCTGGGAACTGAACAAAGGCATGTATGTAAAGCTTATTTATCTTTGTCAAGCGGAGGTGACATGTGGCAAATCCTATAAATAAACTAAATAACACGTCAATATTTACTGCACGAGTAGCCTAATAAGATTACAGGTAACATGCTAAAGCTACCGTATCTGCTTGTGCCATGTTTGTGAGCTTGGCTGACTGACTAGGTCTATTTATTATAATTAAACAACATTGTAAAAATTTACAGCACAGTGGTCGCTTTGCCCGAGTGGTTAAGGCGTGTGCCTGCTAAGTACATGGGGTTTCCCCGCGAGAGTTCGAATCTCTCAGGCGACGTTTACTTTTTTAATTAATGCCAAATGCCAAATTATGTTGGATTTCAAAACGACTTTGTACTATAGTGACTATTTTTCGAAATCTCTAAACAGGGGTGGAGAAGCCGAGAATATACCTCACAGAATCTTACAACACATGTAATCTTTTTTAATGCCAAATTATGTTGGATTTCAATACGACTTTGCAATTCAAAACACAAGAGAGATTAGATATTTGTTCCACCGAAGTTAGTTCACAATGTATGTTTTTAGATTCACTAAGACAAACTTTCACAATATATAGCTAGTTCACAAGTTGTGAAACTATATAGATTTTTTGAATTATGGTCAAGGTTAGAAATGTTTGAGTTTGACTTAGAACAAATCCATGTTAAAAAAAGAGGAGAGTATGCGAACACATTTCAGTATCCGAGACCACCTATATAACTCTATAAATGACGTGTCATTTCTTATCTTTCAGTTCAAGGCACTCAAAAGTCTAAAAAAGAACCCCTCAAAAAAAAGTCTAAAAAAGAATGCTTCAATCTCACCCGAAGGTTTTTTTCCAAGGGAAACTCGGAAACCGACACTGTTATTTCAAAAAAAAAAAAAAACAACAAAGCCGGACTTACTGGATTTTGGTAACTATTTATACAACATTTACAGGAACAAGATTACATGAACGGAGCAAATACAGAGGCTCTTGTATAAAGAATATAAAAAATTATAAAAGGCTCATCACTAGATGAGCAATGCTAATTGGCATTTCTTTTCCATTTCTTTTTCCCAGAATTCAGTTTTCCTATATGAGTTACCTTTTGAGCCATTTTCTAAACAGTTACAGTTTACAACAAGCTGCGGCTCGCCCCTTTTATTGTGTCACAAGTCAAAGGTTGAAGTCTCGCCTGATCTTACCAACTTAGCTCTTAACTCCACATTCTCCCTTTGTAATCGCTCAACCTCAGCCTTCAGCATGGCATTGTCATGCCGTAAGCTTTCTACTTCCCCTTCGAGAGTACTATGTTCTCCCTAAACGAAGCACATGCCAACAAAAATACCATAATAAGAGAAAGAAATTGTTGAGGTTGGCATTGGCAAATAATATTGTAATTTAACTAGGTTGCTACTTGCAAATATATGGTGCTTACATTCTCCTGTTGTTGAGTGACAGGTAAAGATGGGAACTGCCCAGTGTATGGCGCACCAAGCAAGACCTCCCTGATGACTTCATGTGCCGCCAAGCTGTCGATCCCCATGTTCTCATAACTCCAAAATGCACCTAGTGTTCCCAAGAACCCTTCATGGCATAGAAATGTCGTCTGGACTTCACCTTTGGACCTGGAAACAATCAACAAAAGGAGGTAAGGAACTATTGACTTAGTGGACGAGGAGCAATGCAGTCATGGTGCTGGATTGCAAATTTTTGTTCATTGCAATAATATTAATCACTGTATATTTAACTAAGTTTCTTACCAATATTTTAGGGAACGAGAAATCTTATCCATAGTCTTTTCATGACCACAGACGTAAGCACCTCGGAAGAAAATTCTCTTCAGGCCTGAAAGATTAGCCACAAAGTAGGCTATCTAGAAGAGAAGTAAAAATAATGTCAGGGTAACTGATAAATCACACATAGATAAAGTGGGGGAAAACCTTTTATTAAAAAAAATCACACATAGAAACCATAATATCCGCAAAGAAGAATACCTGTCCAATGTTGTACGTGAAAGAATTCAGTAGGGCTGCAGCAAGATCCTCTACTTTGTACTCAGAAAGTTTGCTTGAGTTCACTTTTCCAAAGCTAGCCGCAGTAGTGGATGCTGGAAGCCCAACCTGAGACAAAGAGAAAAAAGAACTGATGGAAATAATGATAGCTAATTATTACAATTTGTCCCATGATGCTCAAACGCAAAAGTATTGCAATACAAATTCTGCATACAGATATTCAAAACCTGAATTCAATATTATGCATGATGGTTATAAAATCTAAGAAGGGCGGGCCTGGTGCAAGCGGTAGAGTCTTACCGCCTGTGACCGGAAGGTCTCGGGTTCGAGTCGCGGTCTCCTCGCATTGCACAGGCGAGGGTAAGGCTTGCCACTAACACCCTTCCCCAGACCCTGCACAGAGCGGGAGCTCTCTGCACTGGGTACGCCCTTTATGGTTATAAAATCTAAGCTCATGCGCTTGAGTTTCATAACCTTCATGGTAAGTACACCAAATACCCAAATACCTAAAATCTAATCATATAAAAGTAACCATCGATTCAACATCTGTCTCCAAACAGCAGTGATATATGTATATAGATGCAAACTGAAAGCCTCTGTTATTTAGTATGCCTTGATGGATGGAAACAGTTGTAGTTCAAAGATCATGATGCCTGTTTCGTGCACCTGCTGCAATTTGCTACATATTTTTCTTATTTTATTTTCCTTCTCCAGAATAGATTACCTCTCAGGTGATCAATCAGCATAAGCAGTGTGGTACTCATAAACATTTGATTTTGTTAGAACTGTTGCATATTACCGGGAAAAAAATCCCAACAGGTCAACTTTTTCAAAGAATGGATAAGTACCTTTGGGTAACCTTCTCCCCCATATATGTCCCCAACAGTCAAATCGACGGACAAATTATTGCCCCTCTGGCTCAACTCCAAGAATTCTTCGTAACTAAAAGGAAAAATATTAATTGTCTAGCCAAAAGGAAGTCTTATACCACTAATTGGATAGTACCTTGAACAACCAGTCAAAAGCCTGGCAAGACCAAGGATAGTACCGCCGCCTAGATGGGATCCTATAATTCTTTCAAACTTTCCCTTACCAATTACCTGTTCATAAAAGCATGTTGCTAATAACAAGATCTTTGAAAGCACATTGTTGATAACAGCTGACATGTGAGAAATATAATTAATTAATAGAAAGAGAAGCAGTATACTGGAGAACCTCTATCATGCTGACACCTGATCCGATATTTACAAGGAGGTAAGGAAATATGTTGCTATCATTCTCTTCATCCACTGATGTCCCATCAACAGGTGCTGATTCGTGATGAGGCTCCTGTATGAACAGAAAAAAGGTAGATCATGAAAAATACCACATTTTAGCTTGGAAAACATAAATCGCTGTTGTAGAACCTACATTAAACATATGCTTTTGTAATCAGTAGTCACCTACGTTGAGTGCTGAAAAAGTTCATAAAACATAAAAAAAATGGAGGACTGGTGAAGGTCAGCCCTCAAACTCTGGTTTACTTTAGCTTTTCTTCTCGAAAACACAGGACAATTGCGTATCATTGCACTAAGAAGAAGAAAGGAGAGTACGCGTACAAAACCTAAACAACACCCACCACACCCACACCCAAATACTGCTCAGTTACATTTGCGCCTGTTTCAGAAAAACAAACACGCGATCAGACCTGAACAAAGTC